GATCACAGAAGTACACCCTCCCCCCCCCCCAAAAAAAAATGTCTTTAATAGCTCTGACAGGTGAATTTAAGCTTCCATTTAAGGGTTGTCATGAAAACCCGTCAGCAAAATTTAAAGTAAAAACCCCTCTATTAAATGAAAGAGCCTTGTCATTCAACTGAATCTTCTATTCAAAGATGAATGTCATGTGCTTTTTAGAAATAGCTAGAGATTTAAAAAAAAAGATGTTAAAGATTTTATTTTCCAATTAGTAAATGGTCACAGGCTAACCTGAAAGAATTCTGGATGTCTCAGCAATGTCAAGGTCTTGGGCCTGATGTTAAAACTAACCCCCGAGAAGATTTCACAAATATTTTTTGTCTGGAGTTCTGCTTAGTTTCAAGAATATACAGAGGCCGTCACTTTGATGCAGTGGATCAAATGAGGTTACATTTACAGAAGAAAGACAATTCGCCCTTTACTAGATGGCTCAGGATGCAAATGGAAAGGAAAAAAAGAACCAAAATTAGTTGTACTCAAAGTTTGCTTGCTGGGATCCCCATGGGGACAGACACCTAAACAAATGTGAATGAAGTGTGACAAGCACAATAAAAAGTATTTCTAAAGTGCTCTGGGAAGCACCAGTAGTGGGCGAATCTGGAGAAGCTGTTCTCAAGGAGGAGGGAAGAGGTAGGTGGCCAGGCAGAGAAGGGAGGAAGCAAGGTCAAGGGAGAGGAAAGTTCCCGGGGAGTGGTCAAAAGCCCCCCAGAGTTGGTGTACAAGGTGCATGTTGGGGTGCTGTAGAAAATAAGTGGTTGCAGGGACAGGTTGGGGTTGGACTTGTGGGGACAAAGGGAACAAGTGTGTGCTTCTCAGGTGAGGAGCAGTGGCAGGAATTGACAGGAGCAAATTTAGCTCTGACAGCAGCAGTGAAGGCTAGGTGGAAGCTGATTAGTAGAACACAGTTGCAATGATCCTGGCAAGAGCCGCAAGAGTTGAACTAGGGCGACACTGGGTCCAGGAACCAAGCCTGCTTTCGCGAGCTGTAGAAGTTGTGGTAGATCCTCCCCTCGAGGGTAGCAATGGACATGCAAACATGACACTCACCCTGGTGTTCTGAAGACGTCTGAGGCAGACTGTTATTTAAGAGTTATGTTTATTCAACACGTGGAGGATGTGTCAGTTTAGCAAATAGTTGTTCAGGCTGCTTATGAATGATTTCTCACATTAGTAATTATATGTGCGGTCGTACTCCCCCTACTACGTAAAATTTATCACCTCAGACTATAGTTTGATATGTCCCCTAAACAGCAATACAATTACTAAAACTTTCTTCTTTACATATTAAGGTAATGTGGCTTATAAAAGCCATTGATCCAACTCTGGAAAGATTTATAAAGAGGCTTGTGGAAGGTTTTCACCTGATATCCCTACAGAATACAGTATACTTGGTTCTGAAAAGAATCAACTGACTGGGGACCAGAAACAGATCATTCCTAATGAGCAAATTGTAAGTCCAGCCAATAGCCCCAGTTAGAGCTAATTCATTCATCCACTCATTTTACTGAGTACCTGGGCACTATGAATATAAAGATAGGGTAACACACACCTGTTATAATAGAGATCTAACTAGTTCACTCAAAAATAGAAAGAGAAAGCTCAGGAAAGCAGGACCTGAGCCCTGATGATTATGAGTCCTGGAGTCAAATGAGAGAGGGCAAGACGTCATGCAGAGAAAACAACATGTGCAAAGGCCCATTGGCAAAGACTCTTGACCAATTTTCCGGTTTAGGAAACTCTGAGAACTAAAATGTAGGATGAGTGGGGGTGGGGGGCGGGGGGGTTGCAGGAGATAAAATTCTTAGGTCATGCTAAGAAGTCTTGATTTTGTCCTATTGAAAAGAATGAGACACTGAGGAATTTTAAGCACAAGGCAAATGTGACAAGATTTGAATTTTTGAAAAGATCCTGCAGCTATAAAGAAAGATGTACAGAAGATAAGGAGGGGGAGCTGGCCTAGAGTAGGGGCAGCCAGGTGGAAGACAGCTATGACAGTCATGAGAAGAAATAATAAACACCTGAATCAAGGTGACTGATGCTGTCTGTGGGCATGAGGAGTCGGGAAACAGGAGTCGGTAAAATTGATGGGAGATAGTGATGAAGGGTATAAGGAAGGACCAGGCTGATTCCAGATTTCTGGGTAGCCAGGGAATGAAGTTGCCATAAACTGAGACAGAAAAGATAGGTTGGGTGGGGGTGTAAATCTGCAAAAGGCAAAAAAATCATGCAGATTATCCTGCAGTAGGACATGCTAGCCACAGAGCTGTGCTGTTCAGACTAAGGGAGCCTGCCCCTGGGACCATAGCTGCCTGAGAGCTCCCGCTGTGTCCCTCAGAAGCCATGTCTCCCCTTGGGGCTACCCGCTAAAGCCAGCCCGCTCCCATTCCACAGATGACCCGTACCTAGTGGGTGCCTTGCTCCCTCTCCTCTCGAACACGTCAGACCTGCACCATGATCTGATGGCTTCCCCCTGCCCACTTCTGTTCCTTCCTTCCTTATTCTCCACAAACACTTCCCTGCAACATTTAATCCCATTTTGGTATCTGCTCTGATCTGACACGGCAGTAAGGCTGATTTGGGAGTCGTGCACAGAAATCACTGAGCCTTGGGTTAGGACTAACCTGTTCCAAGACTGCAGACCCTGAAGAGCTATTTTGTAACACATTGCTATGCAGGCTAACAGCTGGAGAGTGGCTGTTGAGAAGTAGGCAACATAAGATATTTTGAAAAGTTAAGGTGGATGAGGTGTTACACGGCTTGGACTCTTGATGTAGCATTAGAAACCAGATAGAGGACGTTTTAGTATCTACCACAGTCCTAACTTTAATCCGTGTATAATTTAGGTGACATCCTAGAATTCTTGGACCTTCAGGACAGTGGCAAAATAGAATAACTGGGCTATGGGTTTGCTCCATCTTTTCCAAGCACAAGACACTTAAGTTCAAGAGTGAGGACAGGGAAAGTCAATATCCTTTAGCACCCAAGAAGTGAGTGTTCCACTGGTTAGTGGAAGTCTTTCCAACAAAATGCCATCTGATTCTCATGCCCCAGCAGCACACACTTACTCTGCCTGTGAACATATTTTTAAAGCTTTAATTGGCTCTGTAGATGATTATGGGGTGTGTTTTCTCATGCTATAAAATATTTTAATACTAGTTCTGTCTCAACCTTACCTTGAACCCCTTCCATTTCCTTTGTAACTTGCCAAATTATTGTACGCACAGTTGAAACCAAGTATTGTTACTAAAGATAATGATAATGACGAAATTTTATTCATAAACTGCACAGAAATCGCATCTTCATTCAAATCACCTAAATGGCTGGATTCTCCAAGTGATCATGACTTTAAATGTTTAGGTTTGCAAAAATCACTACAGTAAAACTGTTTGTGTAGAAGCCACATAGGCTGCCAACACTGGGCACCCACCCAGCTCTCTTGGCCTAAAGATATGCTCACCTAGGTAGAGGCCACCTGGTATGCCTAAAAAAGGAAATATTTAAAAAGCAGGACTACATTTCATAGAAAACTTCCACAGTGTATAGACAAAGGAGAGAGAAGAAAGAAGCCAAGATAATTAAATTTGTATGACAAATGTTCTACAAAAACATAGTAGTCACTCCTCCAAGGCAGTCAAGAGTATCTGTCTGCACTTTTATCTCAAGGCAATGGGGACAGTTGCATTACACAACCTATGAAAAGTCACTCTTGATACTTAAAATGATGTAAAAATCAATTTCAAATAACTACTATTGCAGCAGAATTCAAACTTAAATTCCTCTATCCTCAGAGATCAAATTGCATGATGTACTTTTCTCTAATTAATACATCAGAGGAACCATAAACACAGACTTAAAATGTTTTTCTATAAGTCTAAATGATCTTTCATGCAGGCATTTATAAAAACTTGCAGCCCTACCTAAAACTACTTTTATCTCTCCTCCTATCTAAAAAGAAATAACTTAGAAATCACAGTCATGTATTTAGTGTGTAGCACGTGAGGAAAAATTTATTCTACTTTTTCGTATTTAAAAAAGACTCCAGGGGCGCCTGGGTGGCGCAGTCGGTTGAGCGTCCGACTTCAGCCAGGTCACGATCTCGCGGTCCGTGAGTTCGAGCCCCGCGTCGGGCTTTGGGCTGATGGCTCTGGAGCCTGGAGCCTGTTTCCGATTCTGTGTCTCCCTCTCTCTCTGCCCCTCCCCCGTTCATGCTGTGAATATAACTGTAACAAAAAAAAAAAAATGTTGAAAAAAAAAAAAAAAAAGACTCCAAGTACTTAGCAAGTCTATATATCTAATTTGTCTGTCAAAATTATCTATAACATATCATCAGGACCATAGGTACAGCAGTAGACATCACACATTATTATAGATTTTTTCAGGTTAGCAAATACAAGCCAAGATACAATATGCAATTGATAAGTCCTAGTTCTCTTTAAGACATTAGGGAACACTGGGGCGCCTGGGTGGCTCAGTCAGTTAAGCGACTGACCCTTGATTTCAGCTTAGGTCATGATCTCATGGTTTGTAAGTTTGAGCCCTGAGTCGGGCTCCACACTGACAGTGCAGAGGCCGCTTGGATCCTCTCTCCCTGTCTCTCTACCCCTCCCTGCCTCTCTCTCTCAAAAATAAACTTAAAAAAAAAAAAAAAAAAGATGCTGGGGTGCCTGGGTGGCTCAGTCAGTTAAGTATCCAACCCTTGATTTGGGGCCAGGTCATGATCTCATAGTCATGAGATCAAGCCCCGCATTGGGCTCCACACTGGGCGTGGAGCCTGCTTGGGATTCTCTCTCTCTCTTTCTCTCTCTCTCTCTCTCTCTCTCTCTCTCATAAATAAATAAATAAACTTAAAACAAAAAAGGCAAGACATTAGTAAATACCACAAACGTAAGCACTTATATTCTATTAGTTGTTTGTCTTCTTAGAATTGGCTAAATTACATAAAGAAACATAAAATAATTTACCTTTTTGAGTTCCTGGATCCATTAAGTGATGAACTAATGGATGGCTATATATTGACGTTTTCTTGATCATTTCTTGAAAACTAGGCAAATAATATAATAAAATATCAAATGGTAATAATTCAAAAGTGTGTTAAGTGCTTTTATATTTACCTAATAAAGCTTAACATCAAATCTAGTATAGAAAATTCAATTAAAATTTCATATATTGATAAATCAGGATTTAAGATAGACCACCAAAACACAATCTATGCAATACAAATAAAAATTCGGACAGAGAAGAGTCAGAAGTTTTAGAAGCTACTGGAGAAAGAAAACATCCTTCACCAGGGACTACCTTAGCTATCACAAAAAAAGGCATCATCTTTATACTGACTGGTCAGATAGCAATCTTAACATTTAAGAGGTGATTAAAACATTGGGAGAAAATGGATTTTGTTCAGTGTAGTGAAAATCACAGTTTTCATCTGAAACAGCAGCAGATATAAAGTTCACTTGTTTCCATCACTGTATTAGTAGGAAGTACCCAGGTTCTAATAGCTCAGCCACCAAATGGGCTTTTTAAGTAGCTTCTACTTTGAAGAACCAAATATGTTTAAAATTAATTATTCTGTGCCTCTCAAATAGAGCATATCCTGTGAACAAGCTGAAACAAGCTGTTATTCCAATTTAGGGAAGAAATGACTTGATGTTTTTCATCTCAGTTTTGGCTCCTATCATACGTAATCCCTGTAATACCATGGAGTTATACAGCACTCCGTTCTTCCGGGGATCCCCAATCACTTTTCACAGCCACCACATTTTTCTTTGCAGTATGCCTCAATAAGTTAGAAGACCAATTATTTTCCCTACAGTTGACAAAGAAAACAAAAAGTCAAATGACATCCCCGCGGTCGCTGGTGAAACAACAGCAACAGTGGCCACGCGTTCTGTCCCCGACTTCGTTCCTCTTCCACTAAAAGACGCAGTGTTTATTACACGTGTCTGCCTAAAGCTCAACATTTATTAAATGTGAAATCCAGACATACCTAAACGGGTGGGCTGAGTTTCTAGAAGTTTAAAAAGTATCATCCACAACTTTTGTTTTGCTGGAGAGACCACTGAGGGTGCATGAAAGGTGAGCCCAGAAGCACGCAGTTTGCTACTGTATACACTGGCAGCGAGTCCTTGTGGAAGGGATTAGAATCCTGACAGCTGCGGCTTTGGGAGCCTCTGGGTATACAGCAAGGAGGCTGGAATGCCTGTAAACAAGGGGGCTGAAGAACAGCAGGAACATTCCATGAGCGTGTCTCATGAATAGAGCTAGAGCCAGTAGGCGAATATAAACCACTCGGACAGGTCCGTGAAGACTATGTGAGCAAAGTGATCCATTTTTGAACCTCAATGCCAAGAGTTATGTAAGACTTCACAGCTGTAATGTCCTGTGACGCAGAGGCCGCGGACTGTTTAGGTCACCTGCCCGGGTGTGAACATCATTTTTAGAATCACACAACCATGCCAGAATGTTAGAGAATGTGCTCTGGGCACAGGCATCAAGTTTCAATTCCTTCCTGCTCAGACTAAATAGGAAGGCTAAGGGTGCATGTTCCCTGTGCACCTGCACATGTATACGCCTGGCTGCACTTCGGAGCACATATACATTTCCCCAGGCACTGAAAATGCCCTTAAAAAGAAGTTACTATAGGTAACAAAATAGAGCAATATTATTAAGGTAAACAAAACTAGTGGACTGTGGGTAGATCTTCTAAGAAATACATTATATACCATGATGTATACACAAAGTTGACTTGGGGTCATGTTAATATATTGGACAGGACTAGCAGTCTGGGAACCTAATTTTAATTAGTCCTGTCAATAATCTGCTTGTGATTTTAAGCATTTAGTTAATTTGTTCCTTGGTTCCCTCATCTATAAAACAGGGATGTAAAAGGTACGCAGTATTTGTGGGATGAAAAAATGGCAGGTAAAAAAAATATTCCGCAAACTGCAAAATCCTAAACAATGAAAACTATTATTCATAGGTGGTTAATTCTAGGCAGAGGGCATTCTCTCTCTTTGGCTTTCTTTAAAACAAGAATAAAGAATCATTTGGTGAATAAAAATTACCTGTCTAGGGGCGACTGGGTGACTCAGTTAAGCGTTAGACTTCGGCTCAAGTCATGATCTTGTAGTACATGAGCTCAAGCCCCGCGTCCGGCTCTGTACTGACAACTCACAGCCTGGAGCCTGCTTCAGATTCTGTGTCTCCCTCTCTCTCTGCTCCTCCCCCGCTCATGTTCGGTCTCTCTCTCAAAAATAAAGAAACATTAAAAAAAATTTTTTTTTTAAACAGAACCTGCCTTTTTCAAGGGGTTGTTTAAAAGATCACGAGACTCAGTGCTGGATTTCTTAAGAGGCAGAATCCCTAAATCGATCATTTAAAGTGACATGATAACAATGATCACTTCAGTTATACTGAACTGTCTGAAAAGTACATGGATACTTCTGCCTCCACCTGTAAGTAGCTTATAGCCTACCTCTGCTTCTGAGAACTAGAAAAGCAAATTACACACACACACACACACACACACACACACACACACACACATGAGAGGTCATCAGAGAGCTGTCAAGGCAACCAAGAATTCCAGGCTTTTGCTGACTATTGGGGTAAAGAGGCCAAGAGGGCAAAGGAAAGACAACAGGGAGGGATGCCAGTGGAATTTCAGATCTCACAGAACCCAGGAGACAAAGTACAGTGTTTGGGGCCAGCAAGGTGGCCAGGAATTGGGAGCCCAAGATTCCAGGAAGCACAGAGAAATAAACCCCACACTCAGCACTGACTCTCCACTCAAGGCCTTTGCTCAATAAGATGTTTAGGGCAAGAGGCTAACTTCCCAACCAAAGAGTGGCTAGAAGCAGATGTAGCAGGGACCTAGACCTTCACATTAGACAGCAGCCTAGGGGATGGCTGATCCTGGGACCCTGAATGACCTCATGGTGGACAGCTGCCCAACTGGCTCAGACTGGTCAGCCTGTTGACTGGGAGATGAATAATTGTCCAGCTTATCTAGGCCACTGCATATGAACATCTCTTTGCTACAGGAGCTCAGCCTTCACCCCAGCTATTGTAGGGCAAAACAAATGTAAATTATCTATTAAAGACAACAAAATTCAATTTTAACAAAAGTACTATCTACAAACACATATGCAGAAAACTCCCAATTATTAGGTAGCTTTGAGAAATGAGGATAATATGAAAAAGTTAATGTCCTCCCATCCCATCCCCAAAAAAAGTGTTCTGCTTCAAATGCCTCCAGAAAAAAGAAGCATTAAAAACAGATCTGAGTATATTTACGTGGAAGCCATGGTTGACTCCAGAAGAAAGCTGCTAGAGAAGACTGGTAGAAGCAGACAAAATATTTCAAATTTCAAGATATTTCAAATAATAAGTAATAAGCAAGGAAAAGCAGCAGCTGCAGATCAACTATTTGAGAAGTTGGGCTAAAAGGTGAAAATAAACAAAAGCCTAAAAAAAAAAAAAGCAGCCAACAGTCAGTCAACGGTTGTTGAAAGGTACCTGTATTTAGCATTCATTGGTGATGATGTCGATTATTTGAAGGCAGAGGAAGAAAATCAGTCAAGATGGAAAGACCAAAGATGTCAGAAAAGACACAGACTTGGGAAGACAGTACCTCTGAAGGCCAAAGAACCCAAGCTCAGGCTGCTCTTCACCATAAGCAATCAGAACTTTGAGAGCCGCTGTTGGGAGAGGTCTCAGCAGGAGCAACACTAAAGTAACCGTGGCCAGGGCGCTCTAGAGCAATGTCTCTATCAACAGTAATTGACCTCTGGAAGCCACCCCTGAAGTCACCCACCTTCACCGGTTCAGCCGCAGTCCTGAGCCCCCACAGCCACTTACACACAAGTCGGCTTGTAACAACCAAATTATCTTAAAAGAGAAACATTATGGTACAGAGGCTCCCGCATACAGTTAATACTCACAGGGGAATCACGCACCCCATTCCAGCTTCCTCATTATTTTGCTAGAACCACAGCAAACATACTTTTCAAAGGATGTGGCAGCAAAGTGAGGTTCCCTCCTGCTATCCTCTTACATGGCCGCTGAGAAAAAGGGGAAGGTGCAGAAAACAGGACTTCACGTAGTTGTGGGCAACTGCCACTGTTATGGAATAAGAAATAAGGAGATCTTTCTTCTCATCTGGGTCGGAAAGTCAGGGGGAATGCATATAGACACTGACCACTGACCAACAGAAATCCCTTCCTTTCTGTCAATGCTGTCAGAAAGCATCAGACACCGTATGATAATAGAAACATGAACAAAGACTGTGAGTACAAGGAAATACTCAATGACGTGGAAAACACTAGAAAAACATATCAGAAAACAAGTAACTGTCAAGCTCTGCATCCGTAGTTTTACAAACCACACAATAAAAAAATTGTGCAAATACTTTTAATTATACTATTTCATCACAACAAATTCATTACAAGATGTTAAGTTGTACCCGATGACGGAGAACACACTGGTTTAAATTAGCTTTTCCTCTTTCTCCCTCTGGTACCTCTCAGTTTGCCCTTTTTCTTCCCAAACACAGATCTGGCAGTCACCAGCACTGGTGCTGTCCCTGCTTGGTCATCATCACTAGAGCTGCTGCTGGTCGAGTCTTCGCCGCGGACAGGAGCAGGGCGCCCTGCTCTTGGCAAAGCCGGACGGCTGATGGGGGGCTCCTCGGCTGCTTTCCCCCTTTGCAGGTTCACCAAAGATACATACTCAGCATCCTCCCCAGAAGACGCCCCGGATGACGGCGAGAGGCAGGTGCCCCCCAGAAACCCACCACATTTATTCGCTTGCTTAGGATCTGAAAGCCTCTTTCTTTTCAGGTTTGATGACTCTTTTCGTTTATTTGCCATGCATCTCTTCTGGGTTTTTCCTTGTGCCGTATCCGGGAACTCACAGTCTTTCTCCATGGCAACAGACACCCCTTCTATTTCACTGGCCTCTTCTTCTCTTTCTTTTCTCAGCATACATGTCACAGCTCTGTTAAGTCTCTGGCTCCTAATACCCTTAGCATCTCGTCTCTCCTGTTGAGCTAATCTAAAGAAAGAATCAATTCGGAGCTGTGTCTAAAAAAATGAAATGAAATAAAAAATCAGCCAAGGAGGTAAACTTTCTAAAGCAAATCAAAGAGTTCCACCTTGATCACCAGCTTCGGAGGGCTGTTTCAGAGAATATGAATTCATTCTCTCTCAAAAGCCAAATCTCTCCTACGTGATTTGCTGGAGATAGGTTTTATTTTTCTAGATCATACTTAAAGCAGTACTTGTACCACCTCTGTCACCCCCAAGTCCCCCGTACACAGCTCAAATAAGAACCCCCTTCCAAGGCACGTAATGAGACTGAAATATTTCTCAGTAGCCAAAAAGACCACCTCCTCTAGGAGCAACACAGTGTCACGGGTCTGTTTCCAAATTTCACTCTTCCTTTCTTTTGAACTCATCATCCTCATGCGATACACTGAGGAGACAACCTCACAGCATATTGGGAGTCGTAGGAAACAGGCATGTGTTTTGGTTAGCAAACCCTCTTCTAGGAGGACAGTTGCATTTGGGAAAAGTTATATGCCTAATGTTCATCACACCATTATTTAGGAAAACCTGAAAATGGAGGGCCTGCTAAGTAAACTCAACCAGTAAGTGAAATCTCTTCGATGAAATGCAATCTGGTCACTTGAAATTATGAAACCTATGCAATACAGAAAATAGTCCTCTGTTATTAAGTATGGGGGGAGTCAGATCTATCAGACTGCACTTATGTGTGACAACAAATCTATGTGGGAATGGGGGTGGGGGGGTGGGAATAAAAGAAAATAGACCTAAATGTTAACATCTGTGCCAGAGAAAGTAAATAATGGATAATTTTAATGCATTTTTTTTCACTCTCTAATTTAGGGGAAATAAATTTACACTAACTTCTACAAGGTAAGGGAAAAAACATATTATAATAAAATATATCTGAAATTAAGGAGTAATCAGTCACTAAGCCAAGAAGCTTTCCGAGTCTGTTGGCATACAACGTCTGTATTAGAGAGAGCCCTCAAATAAGCAACAAGAGACTCTTTCTGGAAAAGCATGTCAGTTTTATGGTTTTTTTTTTTTTTCCAAAACTAACCAAGCTTGATGACAATAGATTTAAATATAAGTATCTTATAGGATATGGTCCCATACGTACAGGTAAACCATTCAGTAGAAATATTTTGGAGGTTGTTCCTGGGGTAGGAACAGTTTTCTGTACGGGTAGGAACATACTCACAGATGAGCAAGACACAATTATCTACCAACGCGGGAGAACTGAGGGACATACAAAGGCCTCGTTTCTCCTCAAAAATCTCTCCTGCCAACATGCCATAATGATGATGGTTCACATATAGAATTAAGGAGCATTAGTACTTGAGGAGAATTTAATGATCAGGATGGCTTTGGACTGGACACTTCCCCGACTTTTTAAAAATGAAAATAGCTCTGAAAAAGTAACATATTCAACCATAAACACCTCAGTGTGTGATCCATTATTAGACTGTTTTTTTCAAAGTCAGAATGAATAATGCAAAGACACCAAAGTCCAGCCCTAAGAGTGAAATTCAAAAATTAAGACAAAGTGCAGTTTTCTTTTTCTGTTTTCCTCTGTTCTCTTCCCTAAAGCATAATAATTTTAAAATGGATGTCGTATGCCCTAAGATAAAAGAGTAACTCATCTTTAACAGCTGCCACTCACAGCCTTCCTAAGTTCACTCCTCACCCTGAATTTAGGAAAAGAGCTGCCATGATTACCTGCTGGGCGTTCAGTTGCTTTAATACTGGAAACAGAGACTCATCTGTCTTTGTCCTGTTCCAGCCAAAATAACGCTGACAAAATATGCAGGCAGTTAAGGCTTCTACGTGTTTTTAAATATATTTAAACAAGTGAAAAATAAAAAGGTCCAAAGAACTCACCCTAATTCCATTCCCCAGATCTTAGAGATTTTCATATTTATAAGGAATAAGTGGTAGAGAAAAGAATGACAATGACTTCAGTGTCCTCTAAGATAAGACATATCCAATTCTCATTTTAGGACATCAAAGACTCGTTACTATGGAAAACAGTTAACCTAGATTAAAAACAAGTTTCAGATATCATACATACGTCTC